AATGGATATACTATAACAAATTTACTGGAATTGTTTATTTAACATTTTTGGATAAGTTTTGTATGTGTGAATTTTTTGCATTGTAATTTTTAATAATTAATAGCTAATTATTATTTTATTATTCTATTTGAATACAATGGCACTACATGTATCTTGAACTAAAAAATTATAGTAATCATATTTTATTTGGATTTAATAAAGGTAATTATCACATTGTTTTGTTAGGGATAAATATCTCAAGAAAAAGTTGGTGAAACTTTATTTCACAACATAAGACGAAAATAGGAAGAGGGATATATTTTATATAAAATATTATAGCACAGCATTTCAGAGGTCCGTAATTGTTATTAATTAAACAAAAAATAACAAAAACTTCAAAGAAATACCCTATATGTAATATTACTATTTCTTTAAAGGAATTCTGATCTATCATTAACTGAAGCCAACTCATGCAAAAGCGGCCTTTTATATGGAGCAAAAAGAAATAATTTCGCTCGCACAAACACATTCTTGGCAGATAGATCTTTCTGGAAGAAAAACGCATAGATCTCTTTCATCCCTTATTCTTGAGTTTCATGCCGAATAAGGGACAATAATTCCGATAACGCGATGAAGCGTAAAGTTTCCCTTAGCGCTGTCTAATGACTGACAAGGTTTCATGCCGTTTGCTGTTGGACCATAAAAATGTTAATTCAACGGTGCTTGTGAACGAAAAGGGTCGTAAATGCTAACGTATTATTTTGACATTGGAGCGTGTATATATAAAATTATAGCTCGAGAATGTAATTTAAAAGTAAATTACACACACACTCTCTCTCTCTATGAATATAGTTTATGAATAATAATAAAATGGAATTACTTTAACAAAGTCACATTGGAAAAAAATAACGTATTTTTATTTGTTAAATATTTAGAGAGATACCAGAAATTGATTTTTTGACTAAATTTAGAAAGGTATAACATAACTACATAAAAAAGTGTGTCTTGAAAATACACATTAAATGTATAAGTATATTGAAATATTGAAATCGTAAAGGAATTCCATTTAAAAGTATATATTCCATTTAAATGCAAAGTATGAGAAACAAACAGATACTGTTTAATTCCGTTGCGGACTGTAATTGTATAATAGAAACATCATAGTTATCCTATATAGCAGACATTGCTATTTTGTGATTTTCAATATCCTGTGTTAAATCAATATGAATGAATAAAAGAATTGATCAATCAAAGGGCTTAAAATGTATTTGAATAAAGATTATTTCCATTTCTATTTCCAATTTCGAAACTCATTCCAAGGCACGAACACCACGATTTTTGGGACTTAGATTACTCGCAGGTAGTAAATACCTCATGTTAAAAAAGAATATATATATTTATCTAATATTTAATAATAATAATCAAGGAAAGAACATACGTAGCTTACTGGTCTCATTAATTAGCGCTGCAGCTGAGCAGATCTTGTGGTACATCTGAAAAATTTACTCATAATAGTATATATTATTTTCTTGTATACTTTAATGATATACATTGAAAACACATACACCAATACACGATTGTTGAATCACACTCATGAATTTAAATGACTGTACCGTGCGAGGATGCGAACCCGCGAATGTGGTGTGCTCAAACGTGGTCTACACATTCACTGATTCCGTTTAAACTTATTAATTCTGTTAAACTTCTAAAACTGAACGCAATAGTAATAATGTAAAACTAATTCATATAATATGTATCCATATTGTAACTAGTAGGCAAGCTGAATAGAAAAATTAAAAATCAAATTATTTACCAGTGTTTATATGCTTGCAGTGAAACAGTTTACTGGACACTTTCTTAAGCGTCTCACGTAGCAACCAGTGGACGGACAAGATGTCACTAGAATGTCTAAGAAGTCAAGGAACGGATTATATACGACGTGAGTTACGTTTTTCAGGAGAAAATACATTGGATCCTAGCTCCTGGATAAGTATAAAAACCAACACACATAAAAGTTCTCCACTCTAGGGAATTTCTATTTCAAAAGGAAACCGCAAATGGTAACAACGTTCTATTTTAAAAATTAAAACGTAGTTTTCAAACTACTCTCGGGAATAAAATAAAACTATTTTACACAGATTTTTTTTCTAAATATAAATTTAACTGAATAAATTATGTAAAATAGCAGCGTGAGTAGCTCAGTTTCAGCCATTTGAGCCGTCAAGCAACTTATTTTGTAATTTGTTCTGTATTTCAGTTGAAGCATAAAATAATATAAGGCAGTGACATTATTGAATATGAGGCATTTTAATCCTACGGAATAAAAACATACCAACGGTATCATGGGCGTCACATGATAACTAGGTGGATATCAACTTATTTGTCATTCTTATTCCATACAAAACAAGATATTTAACTAATAAAATATTTATAATACATTGCATCAATTATTTTTGTATAGGTGTCCAAATAAATAAATTATATCACGCTTTTTATCTTTCGCTAGTTATTTTTATCACTAGTTGTTTTAGTTATATGATAGATTACAAGATAAAATAACTAAAATTGAGTATATAGTAAAATCAATTAGTAATAAAAACATTTCACTTGTGATTAAGACATTAGTTAGTTTTTACTGCTGCAATAAATCAAGCTTATTTGAAATTTATAAAGGGCTAGCGACGGCGCGCTCCACTCCTCTAATCTTATAAATTATGAAAAACAACGAGAAAGCTATAAATTGCATTTCAGTTACCCGACACGGCCACTGTAACGAGCACTAACTTGCTTTCCACGACCCTATTGTCTCACTTAGTATCCATGCGGCGTCGCTTTTCATCGTTAATTGACCATACATATAAGCATATCTACCATGACAACGTAATAAAGGTAACGCAATGTATTTCATTTTTTATTTTCCTGATATAATGTCCATGACAGTATTCTCAAATGTATCATAAAGTTTTATTAAATAAAAGCAAATGAATTACTCAATATAATTGCTAAAACATACATAATTTTATATAGGTACTGGTATAGAAGAATTCCTAATATTCATTTCCTTCAATTTTACAAAATAGATTTAATAATACATTTGCATACAGCACATACTTTGTAATTCTACTCTTTATATCTCAACGCATCTAAAGTGTTGTAATAACAACTAACAACATAAATACAAGATAAATTGTATAAATCGTATTTTGAAAATTGAATCGTATCGTGTTTTTCATTACTTTTCATCATGGTAATGGCTCTTTATTTTTCTGATGTCCTATGTATACGTAGGTCAATAGAGCAATAGTTATTATTACTATTACATTTATATGCTGTGGGTATGTTAATATCTATATAATACATAGAACGATATTCTGAAAACAACTTTTATATAATCAATAATTTATTTAAACTATAAGAAAAGTTTTCTTTAACAACCAATTACTTCACAACCATCTGCGACAAACAAAAACAGCTTATTCACCACCAGAGATTTAAACGGTATTTTTTGCTAGCACAAACTTGCGCTGCGAAATATCAAAAGGCGATTTGAGCGGGGTAAATTTTTAAACTGACTAAATATCCAAATTGTAATAAAACAAGACGGCGCGGCGGCGGCGCGCGTATTAAAATTAATGTGAATCTGAAGAAATGATTAATGCGCTTAGAGTGCCCCTAAAAACAAAACTTGAAAAATTTCTCAGATTTTTCCTTATGTTTTAGTGCAAAGGATTTTATGGAAACGTAGAGTTGGCAGCACCTGTGGCCTGTAGGCCAAATGTCGTCGCGCCCTCTGCTCATCCATTCTAATTTATTCACGAGTTAGGAGTCGGGATGCCACCGCTCGCCGCCCGCTCGACAGTTTTCCGCATCTGTGCAATTTTCGTCTCAATCATCTGTAAAAAATATTTTATAAGATTATCTATACAGCTTTGGCATAAAATGCAAATTTTTACATACAACGCATAACTAACTTGGTAAAATTAATGCAGGTATTTAAGAGTCGAGAATTATTGTAAAGTATTCAAAATCAACAAATTCCTTTTAACATAAAGGGCCTCGCTCGAGCAAACCCGCATCAAATTAAACCTTCCGCGACCCTTGAATCCAATTTAACTCTTCCACAGATAGATGCACGCGTATATGGAAGGCTGTATATTAATAATTTATGCCCACATAAATTACCAAAACATTTTGCTTTCCTTCAGGATACACAATAAACATTAATAAATAAATTGTACATCCAAGGATATATTTTATTTTATTAACGAGTTAATAGAGTATGAATAAAAATAACTTTTACTTACTAGTAGATTTAGTATTAATAGTAACAAAGGTATTATTATTTAGATGAATAATCATTCATCAATGCATTAACATAATCGTGACTGCTGAACGGGCTTAATTGAAATTATCTTACTAACCAACAACTAAACTATATTATATGTACGTGTTAAAATAATATATGCACCAATGTCAATAATTATTTATTTAAATACCATACTAATTATTGTTTTCTACTAAAAAAATATATCAAGTCAAGTATAATTGGACAGTATAATTTAAGTTAATACTAGTTTGTTAACATCGAAGTAGGTGTAAAACAGTTTTCTTTAAATTGCAACAGCAGCAGTTTCACTGTTTATTGCCTTTTAAGTTTTACGATCTATGTTACATCAAACGTACTTGCTGTCAATGTTTAGAGTCTACAATAAAATTTGATCCGATTGTAACGGCTACAAAGCATAGTCGTGATTTCCCACACTTAGAAGCAATTCATGACTATTATAGAATTCCATTGAAAAAACTTAATCACGCCGAGTGCAAGACACCATATGGCATATGTGACCGTCGACCATGTCCAAAGACTTAAATGGGCACGTTGTCGTCACAGTTGGAATGCCACAAAGTGCCGTCCGTCGGCGGAGCAGCCTTGCCGTGCGACGTGAGGGGGGAACCTCCCGCGCAACCTGCTGCCTCCATCAATTCACTGTTCTCGGTTAGTACCTCGCCTGCGCGTGCGCAGTGCCCATACGCGCTTTTTGTAAAACAAAATACGAATACCTGTGTACAAAAATAGTTGGAAACAAGTGAAAATTGACGTGACAACATCGAGTTATGTGCTCATAGGGATAGATAAATAAGGTAAATGAAACGCATAAATATTATGATATATGGTGTGATATGAACAATAATATAGATATTTTGCAACAAGGGCATATAAGAGCCAGTGTTGGCGGAGTCAAATATGCAAGTTTCATTCTTACTGATAACAACAATAATCAAAATAATGACTGAGAGTTGCATACTACACGTGAACGTATTTTGCAAACAGGTGTATCTGTTTTTGTGAATGAATAGGATAGGAGTGCGGGCAACCGGTTTGATGCTTGCATAATATAACTTAAAGAGTTAAGTTAGTATGTCATTGGTTTGTTATGAGTTTATTTTCCAAGTACAGAATGTGACAAAGATTACGATGTAATGAGGTACCAATGACATCATGCAGTGTTGTTAGCACTCCACCCACTACACACGTGTCTGTAGGTTATACTTAAGTGAAGTAATAATTATTTCACAGTTAAAGGCACAATCATCATTTGCATATAAAAAATGAAGTCACATGATTTTTATTTAATATTTTCTAAAGACGGCAGAGCAGCATCTAATTAATTAATTAAAGACAGGTAAAACTCAGAAACATATAAATATGTATGTAATATATTTAATTTAATAATTACGTTTTGCATATTATAAATATTTTACGTAGGAATTCAATATTCCCATTTATCTAAGTGGGGCAGATGCGGTAGTATTGTTTCAAGATGATACTTATGATAATTTGAATCTAAACAAAGTTACGGCATTGCTGCATTGATTTGTAATTACTACATTTTGTAAAAGTAAAAAGAAACATTCACTTTCCAAAGAATCCTAATTACATTTAAAATTGTATGATACATATTCATATTCATGTTTTTAAAAGGTATAAATATATAATACCTTTTAAAAACATGAATAATTACTATACTGGAAGTAATTAGTGACTTATTAAGAGATAAACTTATAAAAACAAATGTTTATATTATCTATGTATGCGTAACACATAATTTCTTTCTATAAATCGGTGAAGTAATAAACATAAAAACAAACCGTTCTCCAATATATTAAGTAAATAAACAAAAATACAATACGACTCAGCCAAGATCAATTTAGAAATAATTTTACAAATAATGTTGTAAAATTTAATATACATTTCCATATGCTGGTGGTGAATATTCCGGTGAATTTCAATCTTTTAAGAAAAACAAAGCTTTCATTAAGACACAATTGATGAGCGAGTAATAAGAGAGTACTCTGAAATGACAAGATAATTCCATTTTAAAGGAATTGTGAACGTATTTATCGTAATTCGATACGGACTAACGATATATACCTTGGGAATTAACAAAGACGTCGAATCTACGTACAAAACTTTTTAATTAGACTGACACTCAAATGAACACATATAACAAAAGTTATATCTTGAAATTGGGACAATTAAATACTGAATATTGAAAATAGTAAAAAAGGTTCTCCTTTAAAATTAAACGTAATACGTATAATATGTTAAACAAAAACTTTTATCCCTTTTAACATTAAATTATATAGAGAGGAACTGTAATTTTATAATCATATTCAACAACATTTAGATAATAAATAAAATAGGTCATACACTATTACACGTTTAACACATATATACACAAATTATTGTTAATACTCTTTAATAATGGATCTGTTTTAATTCATCGTCGTCGAATTTCGACCATTGGGCGTCTACAAGTAAGTATTGTTGTAATAATACATATAGGTACATACATACAATGATATGTATACACATACATAATAATATATTGACACAAGATCTATATACAAGAGACCGTAATTTTCCAATACCATAGAGACTTTCAGGTAACCTGGTTGTGGTCTTTATTATCAATATTTCATCGTCATTATTCATGGGAATTTCAAACCGTGGTCAGCCCATTGTCAGTTTTAGTTAACTGATCCTACAGGCTTTGACCCATGAATTTTATGTCAACATTCTAAGGTTTACTTTGACCCCAATCAAGTCAATTTATTTACAATACCTGCATTATTGTCATTTATACAGTTAGGTTGTTGTAGTAGTTTACAAATGTATAAAAATCGTATTGTCTCATTGTAGGCTTTGAAGCTCTTTCTTTACCTTATACATCAAACGACACTTGGAAGGTGGTATACCTACCGTACGATGATGCACAGATTTCCACTCTTAAACAAATTTGTACAAGATTTTGATAATCTGTCAAAAACTAAAAATACGTAATATAAAGTATGAGTTTTAGTGTTTTGAACCTTAGCAACCTCGCTTAAAAGAGTAAAATCGAGCGTTATAGAGGGCTTAGAATTTAGCCCTCTATAACAACAAGCCAGGCTGGTAATAATAATGTTAATTCTCCTGTTAGGTACTTATAAAATACGGTAACGGTGAAATTCATACCGTGGTTTATTGTGATAATAGTTAGTATTATTAACAATGCATATTCATACAACATTTCATTTGGAATAAGCTATTGTATTTTAGATTCATTTATAAATCATTAAAATCCTTGCCACGATGCGTAATCTATTTCTGTATATAACATGACTCTAATAAGTTCTACTCGGTGCAGCACCATAAATTCTTCATTAATGCCATCAGTCCTCTCTTATACGGAAAATAATTTTAAAATGTTAGTGGCTGAAAAAGTTTGACCGATATAAAATGCTGGTTGTCTTACTCTGCAAATAAAAAGAATGCAACCTTTAGTTAGCTATACCTGTAGTAGTTATATGACGTCATAGCAACAAAATTTATAAATATTATATTATAGCATAAATACTTGTAGTTCTGTTTTGGATTGTTTTTGGAGTTAAGCCTATTTCGTACCACAGGCATGCTCCATGCGTCACATTGTTTCATAAATTATTTCAGTATCCTGTGCGTTTCCCAGACGCGGGATGCGTGAGGCTTTGCGTAAGTAACCGGAGAATTTCCAAGCACACAGGTTAGAGTTAAATACTCATAGCTGTAAAAACTCTCTCATTCTCTTTCTGTTATATATTACATATATCACAGTATCTCTTCATGACAACTCTTAATATTTATTTTCATTTGTATAGGCCGCTTTTAATACATTATACAGTGTAATATTAATATATAATACATTATTTTAATACATTATACAGTGGCTAGTTACAGACGTCAAAACAGCACAAATAATAACAGTGAATTTAATGGATCTTTTAATAGAACTATAAAATGTTTCCGACGAATCGCAATAAACAAATAGGGTGTTTTATTTTCAGTTAAGCGCGCACCGAGCTCCAATGTTGCAGTATTTGAAATAAATTCTAAATAGAGGAGGCTGACACAAAAGGAAGCTCGAGGGGTGCTAAAATTGTATAATTTTATTTTTAACAAGCGAATGCCTAACGATGTTCTTCGTGCTCCGTTGCGTCCAATAATGTGTGACGCGTCCACGTAGAAACATGTATCTATGTTGTAGGGAAATAGTTAATATTTGTGATATTTGTTCATAAACAAGCTAGCTAGCTAGCTGATTATTTCTAAACCATGACAAATTAATGTTGTATAGCAAAAATTATGATAATATGTATTTGATACAATAAATTTAAAAGTATAAAACGAGTAAAGTCATTAGGAAAAATTGGAGCGAAACATAATTTCCAACACTATTTTCATTATAATAATTTACATGACGAGGATGTCTCACAAAAATAATGTTAGAAGTTTCACCTCTGGCAAGCGTGTTTTAGCTCTAGCTTTCAAATAAGTAAAATCAAAATATAGCTTTATTATTAATTAATTTGGTTTATTATTTATTTTATAATATAACAAAGGTATATTATAAACTAAATAATAAAGGTATATATTGCTTTTAATTACTTGAAAGCTAGAGCTAGTTACCTTATGGAAAACCGCAGCCAATTTAACGCTACACTAAAGCCTTGAAATTCTGTAATAAGTAAAGTTACCTAAGCACTAATCTAGGGTCAGTAAAGTTCCGGGATGGTAACGTGGTAAAAAGAATATTATGTGTTAGTTCAAGTAATCTTACTCGAATATTTAATACAGCTTCTGTTTTAATTAAACACGGTATTTTGATTAAAATAAAAATCGCAAATTGTGTTACTTTTTATTAATAATGACAAGTCTGTTACATGTCAATATTTATGCAAAGATAGATTTCCGTATTTATAGTTGCAGTAAAATTAGTAAACATTGAAAGTTTAAAATTGTACGTGTCTACCGTGATCTAAATATAACGGAACTAAGTAAAATTATGTACTTTTCTCTCTTTGAAGAATTAAAAAAAATAATGAATCAATCTATAATTACCAGTCATAGTTAGTGTAGAAATTATCAACTAGAATATGCTCAACGGAATGTCGAAATGGAAAGTCTAAACTGTGTATATATGTATATGACATTTCCTTCAATAATTACCAAATATCTATTAAAATTACGCAAACAAAGTAATATTTCTTTATTTTATATTTTTTACGATTGTAGTAAATAAGTTAGCGGCTACCTGATGGAAAATGGTAACCGTCGCCAATAAAAATGAACAGCACAAGGGACATCACAAAATACACTGACGCCCCTCTCAATTACTATTTTATCGACAGTTTCGTCAAGTTTGATTGTAAAAATGTAAGGAGACAGCCCTAGTTTTATTTATTCTGGACAAATAAATATATCAGCCCTTCGATAGTATGCTTCAATAGATATGGTAATTCTTGCAAATGAGTACGTAGGTAAGATGCATCACACGATACTACTAGTAATAAATAGGTACGAATAATGATTATGTTGTTCACAATAAGGAAACATACATTATGTTCAAAATAAGTACATTATCTATACTGGTAATACTCCGTAGTACACATAATGTAGTTATTTTCTATTAATACTAACGGTTTTATATACGAGAATTGTTCCATATAAGTTCTCGTAGTGCATTATTAATACACATACGTAGACGTTCGAATCGCGTGCATTGCACCCATCAGTTTTGCTTGATTTAATATTAATAGTGCTTAAATGAAAACGTATTGAA